GTATTTCTTCATCCAATGTATGCATTGATCTCACGCACCTTAGATTGCTCATATTTGAAATTCTGCATAGAGGCAGCTTGCATAAGAGTTGACGAGAGGCTTAAGTGTTGTTGTCCTTTATCAATGAGGACATTGGGATTCTTTGGGCATAGTTTCAGGTGTGTCTTCGTAGTGTTGATGTAACCGCTGAGGGATCTACTTCGTATTTCTTTTTCCAAGTATGCATTGGTGCTTCTTGACACCGACTGCCGTCACATTCTTGAAGCCTTCCCAAACTACTGAAGTTTTCTTTCTCACATTTCTTGAATATGGATTTTCTTCCTCATCATTTTCTTTCTGATCAGATGCTGGATTTTGGGTTGCATTCTCGAGATTTGCAGGATTAGAAACAGAATTGGCAATTGATGAATTTGGATTGGAAGACATTGCTTCAGACATTCTGTGACTAATGAACTTAAATTGACTCGCCAACATCGAAGCTCTATACACAGCAGCTAATCGAATTTCTTTGCGAGCCACACAGTTAAGTTGACAAATGAACTTAAATTGACTCGCCAGCCACGTTACCAAGAGAGCTACCATGTGCGAGCTAACACGCGAGTTACACTATCGAGCCAGCTTGTGAACTTCAAACGAGTAAGCTCGCGAGCCTAGCTCAACGAGCCATCGATCCGAGCTAGCTTGCGAGCCTACTCGAGTTGCAAATGTCTTAGCTCGTGCTCGGCTCATTAACAAATGAGCCGGCTCACGAGCCATCTCATTAAGAATTGAGTCGAGTGTCGAACGAGATTTTATCGAATTAAACCTCGAGTTGCTCACGAGTAACTTGGCTCGTTTGCCGCCCTAGATATTACCCATGTTTTTAAGACCAAAGATCTTGGTGAGATTAAGTACTATCAGGCTTAGAAGTGGCTCGCACCCCTACTTGTTTTTCAATTTGTTAAAGAAAATATATTTTGGATTTGCTAAATGATGCAGGGTTACTTGCTTCAAAACTTTGCCGCCACATATCTTGCTACTGAAATCAGTTGTCCATTAATGATGGTGAAATTTCTGGCCCTGAACTTTATCGTAGATTTGTAGGACATCTATTGTACTTATGTCATACTCATCCGTATATAGTTTTTGTTGTGCATCACATGAGTTAGTTTATGAGTAATCCTTTTAGTAGTCATCTTAAAGCTGCATATATGGTTTTCGTTATATTATTAGTATTATTATATATATAAAAAAAACAAGTAACCAAGTTACTATTGCATAGTGTCTCATGAAAGGGGTGGTCATTTGTAATTGACCAAAGTTTGGAGAGGTTTTATGCCATTAAGGTACTAATTAATTAACTTACTACAATTGAACCCAAATTGAACCCAAATCAATGGTTGTTCTACCTACTTTGATCCATTATAAGCGAGTTGAACCCAGTGTTTATAAATTTGTGCTTTGATCATTGATTTAACTTATGACAATTAAATCCAAATTGAACCCAAATCAATGGGTGTTTGACCTACTTTGACTCGGTTTAAGGCAAGTTAAACCTGATGTTGACGAATTTTTGCTCAACAACGAGTTTTGCACGCTTAATTTATTGAAGTTTGAAGGAGGTTCGAATTAGTTAACTTATGGCAATTGAATCAATCTACATAAGTTTTGGTCCATTTTTGGTCATTTCCTAAATAGTTTGACGCTATGATCATCTACCGTCCTTGGTTTGTAAGAATGAACATAAGTTTGAATTACTAACATAAAAAGGTGTACTGCGACGTCGATCAAAATATGTTGTACGAATGAACTTAATAATAGAAAAGTTATGTTTCAAAATGCCTTATTGCCTGCGGAATCGTTTATGTTACCATTTGATCGTATCACAATGGTACACTATCGACCGTCAAATGATAGCATTTCTTATCACTGAAATAGTTTACAAGTCTGAAACATGTACTTAGAACTAAAAAACACTTTGTTACAAACAATCGAAACCCTCGACGCGAAGCGTGGGCTTCCATTCTAGTAAACAATAATCATGGACTAGGTTTGTTTTTTTCCTAGTAATTCATTACTCAAAATTACTGAATTTTCAAACAGTGATTGGGCGGGCTACCTAGATTCTCATCGATAGCTAGAAGGTTATTGTGTGTTCTTAGGGAACTCGCTCATAAGTTGGAGGTCCAAGAAACAACGAATATGATGTCATGACAGATTTAACGTGTGAAGTACAGTGGTCGAATTACCTTTTTAATGATCTCGGTATTAGCTTTTCTTCCCCTACTACCTTGTTTTGTGATATCCAATGTACAATAGACTAGCTGTTGGGCCAATCATTAAGACACATGGGCCACCAAGCCCATAAACACCAAGAGGCCCAGAAAGGCGAGCAAGCCCAACTCAGATGGGCCCGAAAATACATCGGACAGTGGTCCAAAGGCGGTCTTCCGCGCCTCTGACCAGGAAGAACCGCCTGACATCGTCTGATCGGGTCCCTAGGTAACCGCCCGACACTAGGGAACAAAGTTCGTCTGACACCTCAGTACGAAGGCTGACAAAGGTACGATCCTGACAGCCTCCTGAGAACAGGTCCTTATGCGACCTTGGACGCCCGACAGGGCATTAATTATCCTCACTCCGACATCCACTAGTATAAATACCCACTCATGGGACACATTTGGGGGTAACTTCTATCTACTCCACTCTCTCTCTTATTCACTTTATCCACTTCTCTCACTAACTTAGGCATCGGAGGAGGTCCCAGGGCTCCCCTGAGGACCTTTGTTGCAGGACTTCGAAGGTCGCCTCTCATCCTCCCAAGACCGCACGGAGACTGTGAAGCCTCACAAACTGCCCGGTACATTCCAGGCATAAACATTTTGGCGCCCACCGTGGGGCCTCACGACTTCGTCACCGGAAAAAATGGGAGACGGCTTCGAAGCTCCTCTCAAGGGAACGACCCAGAACAACACCCTCCGGGGTCTATCGCCGAGAGTCGAAGGCGAATCGGAGTTTGAAGAGATAGTCAAAGGTCATGACTTGCAAATCGCGAACATGCAAGACAGCCTGTCGCAAATCCTCTAACTACCGAAAACGAGGGAAAACCTTCCTGAGGGGACGCGAGAAGAGGTGCAGATCTAGGCATCCTTGAAAAACATTTACGGTCGACTTACGGAAAGCACAAGAGTCCCAATGTTCTTCAAAAACCCGCTCTCCGAGGAGCTGTTCAAGACCCCATCACCGCCAAACTCCTCTTCCCTCGGACTACCCGCGTACAATGGGACCTCAGATCCCGCGGACCACCTTTGCGCGTTCATGTCAAAGGTGCAGTGCATCAACGCCTCGGACTCCGTCTTGTGCCGAGCGTTTCCCGTTACCTTCAGCGGTCATTTTCGGACGTGGTATGCCTCCCTCCCGGAAGGGGTGATAGAAATTTTCGGAGGTACCCTTGACACTTCAAGGAGCGCCCAGAGAGCAAAACATCATAGGTGGGTTTCAAACCCACATCATCTCCCCACAAAGGAGCTCACACAACCAGCACCCTACGAGGATACCTTTTGCTTTACAAACGCAGCGGTAAATCATCGTTGCTTTACAAACATCTCACAACCCTTGGGCTCAAGGACCGCCCCTGCATTCAAAGTCGACGCACCTCAAATCGGAGGTGACCGCCCTCTAAGCAGCCTTACCAGGCTCACATCCGTCCACAACCCGCCTTGCAAAGGAAGCCCACAGTGGAGTCCGAGGCGCTACTCATTTAGTTGAGCAGACTTCATTCTTAACGAAATAAAAAACAAGGAATTCCCTGGCCAAGATTCGAACCCGCATTAATTAGGATACAAGAACGCCAACTGGCTGGCGACAACATCTACTCATGTCACTAGGGGCAACCGCCTTTTAGCTATTTTTTCAAGATCCAGCGCAGGAACCGAACACGGCCCAGCTGCAGGCTCGTCTCCAACATGCCAGGAGCCCAAGGCTGGGACCGCCTCGCTCCACCTCCGAACGGATGCAAGACCGGGACCGCCTCGCTCCACATCCGATTCTCCAAGGCGATCCTACCCCTCGTCGATGGGTCGCCTCCCTCATCAACGCGATCCGTCTCGCACGCGGACCCCTTCGTCCGAAAGTCCAAAAGGCAAGCCCATCACGCCACTAGAAGACTGGAGGCATCTACTTACGAAAAGAAGAAGAGAAACACGTGCACCATACTCAAACACCTAACCCAACTCTCATAGGCAGGGGCAATTACCAGTCTGCCACAAAACCGCCTTGAGGATCAGAAAGCGACCCATCTCACTCAAACCGCTTCCCAGCTGTCTTCTACCGCTTATTCTCAAGCTAAGTACTCCCTTCTAAGATATATTCAAATACTATGCCATGCAGACCGCTCCCAATAGCACACAATGATGTTTTCTCACTACATCCCATGCTATGACATATTTCACGCATGCTATGCTTATGTTTGTCTCTCACATCCTTCGCAGATGTAAAACCGCATCACATGATCTACATCCCGTGCTATGACATATTTCACGCATGATATGCTTATTTCACGCATGCTATCCCTCCACGCAAACCGCACACAGCTTAACGCACACAGCTCACAGTTACGGTCTACATATTAGAACGCTCAGCAATGGGCTAGTGGGGAAATCTCAAACGACTTGAGAGCTCTAACTCAAGACATCGAATGCTAAGCGAAGAAGCAAAGACGATGGTCGCACAAGGGGCAAACCGCCTCGTTTGGACCCGCAAGGGTCCAGTCCACTCGTGGGCGCCCATCACCGGGAGACATCCTATCACCCGGAGGCGTCCATCACCGAGAGGCGTCTCAACCATCGGGAGGCGTCCATCACCAGGGGCATCCATCACCAAGCAATGGTCGCACAAGGGGCAAAACCGCATCGTGCGGACTCGCAAGTAAGAAGCCCGAAACCGCGTTCCAAAACGGGTCGCAGCTCTCCTATCAACGCCGACCGCCCTTCAGCCAGATTCTTCTTCAACTTGGCTATCTCAACCACATTCTCATCAACGGTCTTGGATAGGCGGTCATTCAGCATAATGATCTGCGAAAATCCAATCTGAGCCTGCAAAGGGAAAACATGACCACGTCAATCATGTCTCATGACAAGTCCCAATAATCGAAATACAAAAACTCACCGAGAAAAAGAACTGAGAAGCAATCCCAGCGAGTCTTCGGTTGCACCCCTGCGAGGTCGCAGTATACTCCGATGGCATATCAAGCTGATCGCTCACAGTATGGAACGCTAGCTCAGCCGCCTCGGTGTCGGTCGCCGCGAGAGGGGGCAAACTTATGGGGTAAGACTGGTCAGTTTGACGAGCGGCCTTGCCCCGCGCCACTCCAGTTCTTCCCTGAGTTACTTTAGGACGCTTCACAGCTCCTTGGGGGCTACCTGTCCCTGGCGGCCTCTTCCCCGCACCACGGGTCACCATCGTAGGAGCAACGGACGCGGCAGCAGAGGCGGCCACCGTTGCTGCGGTCACGGGAGCTGTCTTCCCCGCTACCGTCGAAGAAGAGGGCGCACCAGTCTTTGCAACAGCGGCCCCCCGCTTCTTCCCTTTTGGCCGGTTCGCATTGGCCAAATCTTTCAGACCTGAAACAAAAAAGAATAAGTAACGTACATGAGAAGACGCGAAAAAGAACAATACGACACGATTTTACTAACCATAGAAGCCGCGCACATGCTGGTAAGCGCTCTCAAGACCGCTACGCGTCACCCGCAGCTGGAATCCCTCTACCAAGCGGCCTACGTGGTCTTTCACCGACTGTGGAAACTGACTAGAGGAACACCACGCTTCCTTAGAGCCGACCGCATAACCCGTCGGCGGTTCCTCATCGCCCGAATACCACTTCCAGGAAGGACGCGCGAAGAAGTACTCCCTGAACCAAGGAGAATCCAACTTCGGCGCCCCAGTAACAAGGCCTACAGCGCCATCCCGCCTCCTGATCGACCAACAATTGGGCGTATCCTGAATCTTATACAGCAAGCGAAAAGCATCAAAGGAAGGTTCCTCGTTGAGGCGGTCACAGGCCCAACGGTACATCACCGAGTGAAAGATTATCGTCGGGGACAGGCGTCCCAAGGAGCACCCAAGCCGGAACAGCACCTGAGTAAGGATGGGGTCCAACGGAAACCGCAACCCCAACTTGACCTGCTCCACATGGATAGGAAGCCATCCGGTTGGACAAGACCCAGAGCGACCGCCCTCCGAAGGGGTCGCATAAACCCAATCAGATGGGAGGGTCAGCGACTTCAGACGGTGGAGGACCTGCTCAGGCTGAAAACCCGCCGTATACGCCGGTCCCAATTCCAGTACACCAGAAGGAACCGCCTGATCCTCCCACATCCCTTCATGCCGCAAGACAGTATAAACAGGATCCGCAATAACACGAGTGAGCGGTTCCCCATCTTCCGCGTCCAATGTCTCCACAGAAGACGATGTACTCGGATGCGCCTCAGATCGCACGCCCTCACTATCAACCGTTTCATCCTCATCCAAAGGTATGCTACCTAAATCTACCCGCCCAAAACCACCCATGTTATCCCCAACCGCGGACGAAGTAGCCATACCCCCAGCTGGTACAGGGCGGATGTTAGCAAAAGAATCATCTAAGTCTAAAGAGAGACTGAAGAAGCAATCGCGCACTTCAGAACCACTCACAACGTACAATTCTAGCTCGGATAAATCCCACACGCACTCAGAGGCGGTTCTAGTGGGAGAAAAGCAGGTCATACCTTGCACAGCAGCGGCGGTCCCAACAGAGGATCCCGCAACCCTCTTCGCGACGATAGGCGGCTGAGACCGCGCAGCAGCAACCACCGGATTCGACTCCAAAACAACGGTGGGAGCGCGGCCGGGATCGGCGGCATCAGCCGTGACAGCCGCCCCATCGCTTCCCACAACAAGGGAAGGCGCCCTCGCCTCGCTCGACATCGGCTGGCGAGCAAGAAGCCGACGTCACCGTTGCGCCGGATGAGTTCGCGCAACCGGCACCAGGTCAAAGCAACGAGCCCAATCGCGAAACGAACAAGAGAGCAAAAAGTAAGAACAGAGACAACCGCACAAAAGCGAAGGAAAGGGGCAAAATCTTACCTGGCGCCGCGCTCGGACTATATAGACAAACGTCGGCGAAGAAAGTCGGCGTTCCTCCAAGACAAGGGAGGGAAGAAGACGAACTATTCATAAAAAGAGGAAACCACAATGGTGAAAAAGCTCCCCCCTAGAGCTACTTAAAGCAAACTTCGGGTCTCCAACCACCCGAAGTGACGTTTTCGCCTAGTCATGTCAAGGCGCCACAATCGAGGTTCGACACGTGGCGGCAATTCGCCGAAATCAAAAGCCGGGGGCGTCCTTAGTGGCCCCTCAGACGTTCCCGCTTCGTGCCCTCGCGTCCAGGGGCAGGCGGGTTGTCATGGGTATGGCGTCCATATGACCGCTTAATGATGACAAGATGATCGTTTAGCCGCGAAAGCCCAAAGCCTCTCACGCCTAAGGGGCAAATGTTGGGCCAATCATTAAGACACATGGGCCACCAAGCCCATAAACACCAAGAGGCCCAGAAAGGCGAGCAAGCCCAACTCAGATGGGCCCGAAAATACATCGGACAGTGGTCCAAAGGCGGTCTTCCGCGCCTCTGACCAGGAAGAACCGCCTGACATCGTCTGATCGGGTCCCTAGGTAACCGCCCGACACTAGGGAACAAAGTTCGTCTGACACCTCAGTACGAAGGCTGACAAAGGTACGATCCTGACAGCCTCCTGAGAACAGGTCCTTATGCGACCTTGGACGCCCGACAGGGCATTAATTATCCTCACTCCGACATCCACTAGTATAAATACCCACTCATGGGACACATTTGGGGGTAACTTCTATCTACTCCACTCTCTCTCTTATTCACTTTATCCACTTCTCTCACTAACTTAGGCATCGGAGGAGGTCCCAGGGCTCCCCTGAGGACCTTTGTTGCAGGACTTCGAAGGTCGCCTCTCATCCTCCCAAGACCGCACGGAGACTGTGAAGCCTCACAAACTGCCCGGTACATTCCAGGCATAAACACTAGCTGAGAACACAGTTGCTCATGAGCGAACTATTAGTGATCGTATAGTTTCTGATTGGATTAAAGTGGCATGTAACTAGCGAGAATCAACTTGGATATGTCTTCACAAAGTCTGTCAACTTCTGTGTTTACAAGTCTAATTTTCAAACTGAATGGTTTGGATAATCACGCTCCAGCTTCCCTCAGATATCCGGGCAGTTAAACAAAATGGACTATGTTGGTTGTATTCTATGCTTCTAGCTCATTCTTGGCCAATTCCAATAATTGGACATTGGTTCGTTGGCCTCTCTCCTATATTGGCATCAACGTGATCCCACCCCATGCCGCATGATACGAATAATGAATTGAAGGTAACCAAATCAAGTGGACTACCATGTTTCATTGTTCCCCCAAGCTCTGATACACGTGAAAACGTGATTGATTACAAGCACAGCTGGAATCGAGATTTGCTGGATCGCAATTGGCATCTAGAGATCGGAAACAAGACAACCAGTTCGTTGGGGAATATATCATATTCATAAGACCATCCAACAAAATGCAAGAAAAGAACGCCCAAGTAATATAAAATCGTTATGGAGTTCATAAAAAGCCGGCTTCCCTTCAAACTTCAAGAGCCCCTAACCAAAAACATATACTACACAGCCAAAAACAAGCAGGACCAACTGCTGCATTCTCCCACAACGTAATCAAAATGTTTCGAATCCTTAAGACATGATAATTGATAACCTTCCTTCTTCAGTGTTTGTGTGTCTTGTTGCACTCTTATCGAACACTTCTAGTACTATCATCCCATAGCATACTTCTGGGTCCAGCTGCGTGCAGTCGCCTCGTACTTGGCACGGTCTGTCTTGTACATGTGGGCAATCTCTGGCACCAAAGGATCATCGGGATTGGGATCCGTCAACAAGGAGCAGATTGAGAGAAGCACCTGAATCCAAATATCCATACAAAAGAGTTCATAGACACAGAAAATTATATTCATAGATAGTCAATCGGTGAAAGCTAAACCTCAAACAAGAGCTCGGAGATTCAGATACTGATATACAGACTACAGAGTCAATCCCGATCCCAAAATCAAGCTCACATACTTGCTGACAAACTCTTAACCTCAGTAAAGTGCGGAAGTACCATAAACCGTTCCCCTTTATTCTTTCATCCTAATATGCTAATCTTATGTGCTGAGACAAGCTAATTACAATAACTCAGGAAAAGACCAAGGGTGGATATCATACCACATTCATTTACGAAAAACCTCAAATGAAAGTCAACCTACGGATTTGAAATTTGCACAAGCCTACAATACTCAAGCTTAAATAAACCGTTGACGATTCGGTTATTAAGATTTGAACACGAGACCTCCTCGTTTATAAGGTTCTTATACCATGTCAAGAACCAGTTCATCTCAATAACTATTTTTACATAGGTTAAAGAATGAACCTCTCATTATTCCCTTGCATTATGTTGGCAGGCTTTTGTGTGATTGTACCTACTCAAGCGGCAGTTTCAGAAATAGCATCCTCAAGAGAGAAAGAACTAGAGCATGAAACAGGGTTGTTTAAAGACAATGAAGGGACATATAGCTATCCTAAATAACCAAGGACGCTAGGTGCTAGTCTTTTGGCAAAAGGAATGCAAATGCTTGCCATATACAAGTACCTCTCTTGCAGCTGCATGAGCTTCACGCAAGTTTCCTATACCATTCACCCTGCCTTAACATTTGGTGTAGTTGCAAAACCATGAAATAACATCCCCAATCATGAGAAATTGAGAAGCAAACATAAAACTCTTCGTGGGCAAGGGTAACAGATAAATGCAAACCTTTGAAATGGTAAGAGCAGGGCTCCACTGCTCTTTGAGGATATCTAGACAGATGCTTCCATTGCTGTTGATATTAGGGTGAAAGACCTTGGTCCTGAATGCTACCTACAAACCAAAATTCAACATCAACACCACAATTCAAGCACAGCAAAAGTTGGTCAAATTTCAACCTTCCCTAATATAAAAAATCCAGTGCAGAAGTTTGGATGGCCGTAAATCACCTTAGGGGGCTTGAAAGGATAATCTGGGGGGAAATGGATCGTAACCAGGAAAACACCTCCAGAATAGGGGCTTTCAGAGGGTCCCATAATCGTTGCCTGCCAGTGGAACATGTCCTCTGCCACAGGACCTGAACCGGAAACAAAAACCATACAACTTTTCAATTCAAGGGCATGGCAATCCGAATCAGCAGCACAAGCTAGCAATCAGCGGAACGTAATAGATAATACAACGAGCCAACACCCCAAATCTAGCGATGGAGGTTGGGAGGGGGAAAAAAAAAGAAGGCGACATCGCCTGACCTGCGCTGCAGGAACTGGGTGGATCCTTCTGCAAATCCTTGAGTTCCTTCAAGATGCGCTTGGACGCCATGATTGATCGATTGAGAAACCGAAGACAACACGAGCTGGTTTGCGTACCTGCAAAGGGAGGCGAAATTTGAGCGAGTCGATATTGCAAAGGAAAACATTAAATAAAAAGAGGGGAGGAGCTCGACCAACCAACCGGGAGAAAGCAGAAAGACAGAGGGGAAATCGCGATCGGGGAGGTCGGAGAGAAAGAGAGGATTGGATGGAAGCAGATCCACAGCAGCCCCCGCAAACCGCTCTGATTTCCGCAACCCTTTGTTTGGGTATTCTTCTCACGAATCCAGCTGAGGAGCAGAATCTGTTTCCCTCCTGGACTGCGCTCGCCCGCCACACAACACAAGGAAGGAAAGGAAAGAGAAGAGGAGAGAAGGAACCAGCGAGCGACTGCGGGGTTTGTACCTGATTAGGATATAATAATTTGGGATTTGTTTATTATAAAAAGTTACTGTACAATTATTGCTCGTCTTTTACCCAATCGATTACAAATTCTTCTCCGTCTTTATCATCCTACTTCTTTTCTTCCTCCTTTGCAACGGTTCGGTTCGGTCGAGTCTAACTCATAAGAATCACAGTCTGACAGTTCAATAATAAAAGATATTTTAGAATCAAGAACCGAATTATTATTGTGTTCGGTCCACTCCAAATATCAGTTTGGTCCATCATTTCTTTAAAAACTGTAAAATTCATACCAAATACCGAATCACATTATATTCGGTCCGACCCAAACTTTGGTTCGGTATGGTCCCGGACCGGACCATTACACACACTTACTCCTTTCTACGAACTAGGACTCTCAAATCCAATTAAATTTTTCGATTAACCAATAACTGAACGAATAATGAATTACTAATCGATTTAGCTATCGATTTGCATTAAATGGTTTTGGTTTAAATCAAATACAGGTAAGAACCCGATAAGGAGCTCTCTCTTTGTTAGTCCGTTTCCCTTCCTTTCCTCATCCTCTGCAAATTAAACATGCAGAAGCAAACAGCTTACCAAGTGAAATGGTTTTACTGGTGGTATAATCGAATTGTCCTGGTTCATACTGGTTTAAGATAATATGTAGAAAAGTAAACAAAAACTATTAACAATGAATTTAATCATATATAACATATTTGAAGACAATTTACTAGAAATCCATTTTTTGTTGAACATTACCATCCAAATTCGTATTTAAATAAAAATATAATATTTAAAAATAAATTAACAAATACTCATATTTAAATACAACATTAACGTCAATATATAAATATTTATACATCAATACAACAAATAACTGCAACTTTTAACTTCTGAATTCATAAAACAATTTATTTATTATTTAAATTTACTAAAACGATGTCATTTTACTTAGATGTCGAAAATCGATCATGCCAGTCATATTAATAGTGTACTGATGTTCACACTAATAACGGAAATTAGTTAACCATATTTATCCGGTTGACATTCCACCGACGTGACAACCGTACTAACACCAAAATCATGGAACTAATACCTTTCTTCTAGGGGCGGAGGTAGCTCATGGCAATACCTCCTCCCCACCCCCCGAAAATTATAAAATAAGCTGGGTAGAGGTACTCATCGTCTTTCGTAGTGTAGCCTAGTGGTAAATTTTAGTTTTTATGCAACACGAGGACGTAGGTTTGATGCATGCTTGTAGCTTCTTTTATCAATTTTTGAATTATGAAAATAGCATAAATTAATTAGCAAATTCATAGTAAATTTCTTAATCCCTTTCATGGAAAATTTTAAATTTATATATCATTTTAACTTATTCTACTAAAGTAAAGAATACATATAATTATTTGATTTTGGCCCCCGATGCCAAATTCTTGACTTCACCCCCTGCTTTCTTCTATCCTTTCCCCTCTGCCTGCTCTTACCAGCCTCTTCCCACCGTTGATTTACAAGTGACACTTGTACCCAAAATTATTACCAACAATCCAGAACAGTAGAGGATCTGCAAGCTTCTTTGTGCGTTCATGGGATCCAATTAGGGCTGCAAATGAGCCGAGCTGAGCCGAGTTTTACCCAAGTTTGAGCTTGACTCGTTAACAAATGAGCTGAGCTCGAGCCCGAGCCATTTATTAACGAGCCGAGTCGAGTTCGAGCTAGGCTTGTTTACTAAATTCTCATATCGTATTTAATACATTCATTTTGTATGTCGTGTATGGTACATGTGATTGATGTAGCGATAAAAAAATAATCAAATGTTCAGCATTAATTAATCTTATATTATAATTTTTAGGTGACATATTATTTAGTTAATAAATTTTAACTAGTTCAAATCATGTTATTTCATAGTATCGAAACAATTTTTTACATAATTTCTTTATAGAATTAAAAATAAGGCATATTTTCTTACATGTTCAACATGTTAAACTTCACATGATGTGAGATATATAATTTTAACAATCCTATGAATTATGAAAGTCCAAATTAGATCGATTAGTCCATAAGTCAGTGATCAAGTTGGCCCTCAAAACCAAAATGTTGAGACATCTCATGAGCTCTAAATGAGCCAACTCACGAGTTGAGCTCAACAAGCCACCGAGTCGAGCTAGCTCGCGAGCTGAACAAAGCTAAGCTCAAGCTTGGCTCGTCAGTAAACGAATCAAGTTTCGAACGAGCTTTTCCCGATTCGAGTCTCGAGTTGCTCGCGAGTAGCTTGGCTCATTTGCAGCCCTAGATCCAATCCTTTTTCCACGTCGCTGCGATGGAGACCAATAATCGCACATGCCTAGAGCCCCAGAATCATTTGCTTGTCATCATCATCACAAAGCCTAATGCAGCGGCTCACGAGAATCGAGATCAACTATTTCCCCAGCAACCCATCTAGGTAACACGACATAGCTTTCATCTCTCCTCAGACAAACAGTCATCCTAACCAAATCTTCACTCATGAATTTACAAATGGGATAAGGTTCAACGTCGATTAAATATAGAGAACAAAGTAAGCTCTGTGTAGGGATGGCAATGGGGCGGGTTTGGGGCGGGTTTGCCTAAACCATCCCCATCCCCATCTTCAAATACCCAAACCCATACCCGCCCCATACCCATGCGGGGGAATGTTTTGCAAACCCATCCCCTTACCCGTGGGTTTCGGGTACCCATGGGTAATACCCATCCCCGTACATCCAACATTATTATACCTAAAACTTACAAGAAAATTTTTAATTATAACCATAAACAAACCTATTATATCACGAAGTCAACAAAACACGGTCATTTTCCAAATACGATTCAAAGAATATGATCCTAAAACATCCATTAATACATAATATAGACTATAATATTTTTTAAATTATTATGCTCTAACTCTTGATACATTTACTAAGTAATAATTAACTAACATAATTTTGTTGACAAGGGGGAAAGTGAAAGAGTGGAAGGAGAATTGAGGGAAATGAATTAAGTTTTGATTAAGGTGGTTACTCAATTGCATTTCTACTATTTATTTTCTCGAGTTATCATCATCATCATTGATAGATTACAATTTAATCCACGTATTTTTTGATATGTGAAGAAATTCTCTTGGTGGGGCGGGTATGGGTATGGGTATGGGGCGGGGGAGGCTAAAACCATACCCGCCCCATACCCATCAAACCTTTTGCGGGTTTTACCCATACCCGCCCCATACCCGGTCAAAGCGGGGATTCCCCGCGTTGACTGGGTATGGGGCGATCGGGTACCCGCGGCCATGGGTTTGATTGCCATCCCTAGCTCTGTGTGAGAGTGCGAGAGAAATGATAGCCTCTAGGCCTCAGTCGGTTTCTTATTAGGTTTCGGTTCCTTTAAACTGAAATCGAACCATTAAAAAGTTCATAGTTTTGATTACTCATTATCTTTTTTGGCTTTGGTTGGTTCAGGAGTTAATAGTTTTGAAGTGAAATGAACCAAACCATTTTTTCACCCCTAATTGGGAATATGAATGATACTTTTTTATTTAGGGCTGAAATTTTGGATGACCCGCCCCTGACCCTGGCTGACCCGCCCCTAAAGGGTCAAGGCACATAAGTGACCCACCCCTGACCCTGTCTCCTTCTTGACCCTGTATGACCCTTTAGGCTCGGGGCGGGTCGGAAAGGGTTGGGTCAGTGGGTCGACCCTAATAAATATTCTAATTAATCACCAAAATTAATTAATTAGAAACTTAATCTAAAAAATTAATCCAAATTAATTCCAGTATTTATCAGATTAATTCCATAAAATTAATTAATCACCAAAATTATTCCAAAAAATTATTCAATCACAAAAATAATTCCATAAAATTAATTAATCGCCACAATAATTCCAAAATTTTATTTATTTACCAAATTAATTCCAAAAAATTAATCATTCACCAAAACAATTCCAAAATTTTATTTATTTACTAAATTAATCCCATAAAATTAATCAATCACCAAAATAATTTCAAAAAAAATTATTTATTTACCAAATTACTCCCATAAAATATGTGTTTGATGAAAGGGTGTAAAGACGAAGGAGATGCATGATGGATAGGTCACCAATTCCGACAAATCATGATACCAATGGGCAACCATTCATTTAAAAGTCCAAATCACTACAAAGTACGAATACATCGTTGATTACATAATACATTGTTGTTCAATCATCATCAACCAAATCACTCATGATAGTACCCTCATCCAAGCAAAACTCTTTCAACTCTGCAAAATTAACAACACACTACATAAATTAATAATTATCTTTTTTTATAAAAAAATTAATAATTATCTTAACAAATAGGGAATGATAAAAAAAAATATATTTCATACCTTGTTCAAGTTCTTCAATTTCTTCAAATTGCTCTTCCATGTCAATTGGAAGAGTACTCGATCGAAGCCAATTTTGACCACAAATCAAACTTTCAACAACCAAAGGAGTCAAAGAACCCCGAAATGTATCTAAAACGCGCCCCCCGGTACTGAAAGCAGACTCAGATGCAACAGTTGATACTGGAATCGCCAACACATCTCTAGCCATCAAACTCAGTATTGGATACTCACCAGAATGCTTCTTCCACCATGCTAAAATGTCAAATGTTTTGTCCTCATCATCCTCAAGATTCGCCTTTAAGTACCTCTCAAGCTCTGAAAGTGTAGTTTCTCCCACCCTATCTTCCATTCTCTTTCTCTTGAATTTTTTCTTCAACTAATCCTCCACACTTTCAGATTCATCATTCTCATTTGGTGCTATACTCCCCGCACTTCTTGATGAGCTTCCACTAGTAACCCCTCTCATTTCGGAATAGTCCTTGAACATATCCTCCAAAACACCATTCACACTATCAAACAACTCATTTTTAGTCCAAATTCCCCCATGTTCTATTCCATAAACCTCATCAAGCACAAAACAGGCATACTCCAACTTGTACCTCGGGTCAAGAACCACAACAATAAACAGATAAACGGATAGCCATATCATACTACAGAGCTAGCAATTTGGCCCCCTCCACCCTCCTCCTATCTCTTTGTATATCGTGTTCTTTGCTTTTATATTCTCCTAGCTAGGTCAAGAATTGGAGGGTTTAATTCATGGATAGAAGGGAATGCAGCTTTCTAGGAATTGATCACAATCCCCACCCAATTCAAGCTGACCATAAAATCAAAATAAATGGCCACTGCCAAAAACCCATTTGGAAACAATTCCATCCCTGCAGTCCTTAAAAAGTTGTCCACAATTATCCCTCCTCTATTCCTATTTCCATTCCCAACACCATTAAAACCCCACAAAAACTGTGCAAGAACAAGTAGACTTGCAGCATTCATCGGTCCTGGAAAATTGATTATCAAGGAACACTAACAGGAGATATGTGACAGAAAGGAGACCAACTTGTTCATTCATCACAAAATGTGGGCATACAAGAAGAGCATTTTATAACATCAAAGTGAGTTCTTCTGCAGCTAATTATGATTAGAAGATTCTTCATTAGAGGCAGTGCTTATGCACAAATTGATTGGATGAAGGAACATTTCAAGCAACATCCAATAACTAGAACATGAGCAGTATTAGATTTAACACTTGAGTTCCATGTGTCCCATTCATTTGATTGTTTCCCTCTGCTGGTCCAGTTCTCATCCCTAGTGTTATGCGAATAGTTAGCCACAATCACCCCTGGTTATTTCTAGGTCAACAATGACTAATTGGACAAGTAATGGAAGGCTCAACATATCTCGGCATGGGTTATATGACTGTAGGAGATTTCGACAAGGACCAAGCAAAAAGTTTCAGCAAAATGAACAAGCCAGGGAGCAGCGATTTGACTATGTTAACTAAAAAGGGTCATGATGGAAAAAGGAAAACACAAAGTACCAGCTGGAACAGGCTAACCGAAAGCAGATTGACCCAACCTGCAGACACTGAGAGACCCTAAACCTATGAAGCCTTCTATTGTACCATAACTTAAGCTGGAAGGGATAAACCTCAAATCATTTAGATGCTAAATGCATTGACTCAGCATGAGAATCAAATCCACAAGACACCAGATCATTATCTATTGTAAACCCAAGTGAGCAATTGAAAGCTATAAAAGAAAACCCAGGTGAGCAATTCAAAACAAGAGGGCTACGAAGTATATACCTTGAACACGAGGGACGAAAGCTCTTCCCTGCAAAGGAGTGAACAAAACCCAGGTGAGCAATTGAAGCACAAGGGAGTCGAGAACTAATTAGAAACCAGGATCTGCGCAACTCACCTCGATATTGGTTCTCAGCCGACTCCGCTAGATGATCAGAGTAGTTGAAGACAATCGACCTTGAGATCGGAACCGGACGGTTCTCGGTCGATGGGTTTTTAGTCGATGAGAACGCCGTTACAGCTTTGGCGACGATGAAGGCAGTCGGTGGTGTCCTTGAGCTCGGAGAACACCGCCGAGAGATGCTGGAGAATGATGCTGTGTGTGTTCGTTATTCTTCGCCAAATTTTCACAGGGATAGGGTCATTTCGGGTCATTAGGGTCAGGATGGGTCTTTTAGGGTCAAGTGTAGTTTGACCCGACCCTTACAGGGTCAAGGCGACGACCCGGCCCTCTTTTGACCCTACATGCAAATTGACCCGGCCCGACCCTAAGGGTCGGGTCGGGGCGGGGCGGGTCGAAGGGTTTTCAGGGTCAAAGCTTCAGCCCTATTTTTATTGGTATCTAACTCATCGTCATCCAATTCAACCAAAAATTATATTGATTGGTAATTATTGTAAATTAATTTGTTATCATGGTGCTGATAACAAAAGGAACTAATAACTTGAGTAACTACAACTTATTAGCCATTTATTTTCATTTAAACAAAAAAAAAGCAAAATTTATCAAAATGCTAAAATTCGCCATCCATTAACTTTGGGACGGGATACAGTTACAACCCTTCCTTTGCGGGTTGTCATTTGCACAATCCCCTATGCACCAAATGTATTTTGGGTATAGAGAATTTAGGGAGAGGAAAATGTAATTAATGCATTATTTAAAGGCACCACCTAGCGCTTTGCCTTCCGCCAGCAGAATTCTTTCGACGGACTCCCTCTGTCCACCTAGCAAACAAAGTACAACGATATTAAAAAGGCACCACAACATTAAAAAAGTACCACTACACTAAAAAAAAGTAACACTACGAAAAGACTACCACTGTTGAATAAAAAAGTATCATTGCATTTAAAAATGTACTAGTACATCGATAACAATACCACACTGATACACTAATAAGGTTACTACTCCATCGATAACATTACTAGTACACTGATAACGTTACCACTCCATTCATAAATAATGTTACCACTCTACATTATCAGTAAATTGATAACATTGCCACTCCATCACCAGCATTACCATTACATGATAACCTTACCACACACGCACAAAGAGACAGATATGGGTTAGGAGAGAGAGACTCACATGGTGGTGGAGGTAGATGAGGCTGCCTTCAGGATGAGGACGGTGGGAGAGAGTAGGGCAACGACTAGCGGGAGAGAGGAGGGCATCGGAGGGAGAGAGGCGGGCAACAACAAAGGATGATGATTATGGGATAGAGGGGTCCGACAACGAGAGGAGGGCTACGACAAGATGAGGATGGCGGGAGAGAGGGGTCCGCATCGAGGGAAGCGACAGGAGGAGGGCAACGATCGACAGTGGGGTCTTCGCAAGGAGAAAGAGAGGAAGAAAAAGAATTTGTTAGGATTAGAGAGGACATAGGTATATGTAGACTTATGAGGGGTTAGTGATTCTATGTGGTCTAACATATCATTCCAAAGATGCCCTTGGCCTAATTTAAATTAAAAACCATTTTCAACGCACCACGCCATTTTTATCCAAAAAATGGGATATCTCCTTCTTTTTTATCCTTATCCTCGTCTGTCATTTGTGATCTCAATCTCTAACCCCTTGCCAATAGTCAGTTCATCTTTGTATGGTGCCACGAAGTCAAATGTAACATCCCGACATTTGGGTTTAGGTTCGACCATAGTAAATAGTTTGGACAGGGTCAATAAATTAGTAAAAAAACTCAAATCAACCCAACGAGACTTGTGGACCAAGACCCACTTAGTGAGTGGGCCGAGTCGGGCGCGGCGAATTAAAGGAACAATGGGCTTTAGGACCTAACCGATATTAAGAAGAGGAATCGGGTACAAGGCCCTGCCGAAAGGCAACGAAAAATGAAGAGCCGAGCTGGTGGCCCAACAAAGTAGGGACAGAATGAAGAAGGGCTTTGGCTCGTTAGAGGAAGAGAAATTATTTCCTCTGAGGTGTTGGGTGCGATGAGAGAGGGGCCATTTGCTAGTTGAAGGTGGAAGAGGAGCAGGCCTTTTGTGCCCGTATGGAAGGAGCAGAGGAATAGGATCACGGCCCAACCCAAGAACAAGAATAATAAGGACCTTAGGCCCTGTTCACTTCCATTTTCGTTTCCTGTTTTTTGTTTTCATGTAATAAATTTGGCAACCGAAACGAGAAAACTTGTTTACTTTTCATTCTGTTTTCTATTCGTTTCCAACTATGAAAACAGAAAGTGGCAACTTCCTGCTGTTTTCGGAAACGACAAAATGTTGTTTTCACCCGTTTTCAACATCTGTTTTCTCAAAAACAGGAAACAGAAATGAAAGTAAACAGGGCCTTAGCTTTTTCGTTGAGTCGTTCCCGACTTGAATTTCGACCGGAACTAGAGGTGCACAAGTATAGCTTTACGTGAGGACGAAACAAAATAAATCGGCCAGAAAATTAAGTGGGAAAGAGTGTAGGTTTCAGGTGATTCAATTAAGATTAATTGGTGATTGATTGGGGGTTTTAATTGGTTATGGTCTCTTCCCTTATAAGCAGATAGAAAAGAGAAACAAAAGAAAGCAGAGGGAACTAGAGAGAAACAAATAACGAGACAAAGAAGGGAGTTGCGGCTGGTGGTGATTCCAACAGTTGGGCGAGTTAATCGAACGATGAAACCGTCGTAAGCAAGAAGGAGAGGAAGGCAAATGGTGACCGTTGGGTGAGAAATGGGGGCAAGAGGGCTTGATAACGGCTGACCATAGAGGGAGCCGGAGTCGAAAACTACAACAACCAGATGGGAGATGACGCGACAACCAGACTTAAAATTTACCCATCAAAATGACAAAGGATTTGACCACCCGTCAATGGCCTCCGAACTGTGACCAAAACAGAGATGTCAGGGATGGAAACGACGGGAGACTCTAAGCGACAACGACGATTGGGGAGTTGCTATCTAAGAAAGAGGAAGAAGAACTGAGAGCCGATCATGGTACTAGAATTGAGAAAGAAGATGAAGGGGAAGTCGATGGTGGCAGAATGTGTTGAATCTTGTAAAAGGAAATGGTCTACTTTTTCTCATTAATCAGAAAGGTGAAAAATTACATTGTCTTATTACACATTTATATATATCTGTATATTAGCAAATAACAGAATAATACAATAAGAAACAAATATTACAATTTAGTTCCTATACTATTGTTTTATTACAACGGAGTCCTCCAACACCCCCCCGCAAGCTGGAGCGTGAATGTCAATCCGATTCAGCTTGGAGATGAGTCCTGTGAAAACAACACTTGACAAAGACTTTGTAAAAATGTCAGCAAGTTGATTCTCACTGCTGATGAACAACACTTTTATCAAACCTGACAAGATTCTATCACGAATGAGATGACAATCGATCTCAATATGTTTGGTACGCTCATGAGCAACCGGATTCTCAGCTAAACGAATAGTAGATTGGTTATCACAGAATAACACAGTAGGAGAGTTAAATGAAACACCTAAATCCTGGAAAATGTAATGCAACCACTGTACCTCACATGTTAAATCTGCCATGGCTCGGTATTCGGCTTCAGTGGAGGATCTAGAAACAGTAGGCTGCTTCTTGGATCTCCAACTAATAATCGAATCACCTAAAAACACACAATAACCAGTAACAGAGCG